TGTTGTTTTCAAGTACACTGGACCAAAATATTCTAGTCCTATTCTTGAAAATGGTACGTCACTTATGACCTCGGTAGACAGCACAATGGCGGCATTTTATAGCAACCACCTTTGTGGCGTCTGCAGACAACGCACTTATTCAACACTCATTTTACTGTTGCACGACCATGTAGAATCCAGAAACGTTGTCTCATTTGAGTTGCTGTTGTTTTTTACCTGTTATTGTAACGGTATCTCTTCATTGACATTCCAATTATGTCTAAGTACTTTAACACTTTTCGTATCGGCTTTGTCTTCTTTTGGAATGAATTAATTTATAAGATCACTTTTGGTAATACATTCCCGTAAATTCATCGAGGCATCTGCAAACATTGTCTTTGATTTTGTAAATAGCTGTATTGCTTCACTTGTGTTTGCAGGTCCGGTGATATCGTTGTTAACATAAATGTTGTTTTTTTTAGATTTTCTAAATTGGATTTTCATAACATTTTAAAGGGAAGTATACCGTTGCTCCTAATAAGAACGGACTTCTGATTAGTCCGAAAGGAATCGTAAGTCTGAATTCCTGTATATTGTCAGTAACTACAGTAGGATTTTCATAGTCTCTCAACCAAAGAAATTTTGTAACATCATGATGACAAGGTTTTAATCCAATTTGTAAAAATGCTTTTTCTATACCACAGAGGTCCTGTAACATTACTGGTCCCCTATTTGTGTACTCGTTTAGACTTTTATTTTCATTTCTTGTTCTTGCCGAAGCATCGTATACTGGGCGTATCTTAGTTGTTGCTTTCTCTGTGGTGTGATGACAGCATGGTGTGGAAAATAATGTACCAAACCATATACTGGTTTTTCAACTTTCTCTATAACACCTTAACTTAGCTGATCCCTCATAACTTCATCATATTTCATCATTAACTCAGGTTTTTTATAACACAGCTTTTTTAGCGACCTATTGCCAAGTTCCTGTTCACAGGCAAATCAGGAAATTCTTCGGTCCAAGGCCACGTGACTTGGTATCGGCCATTTTCAAACTGAATAGTATCGAAAAACATTTCCATTGCATGTTCATCATCTGAGAGTCTTTGTTTTTCTATAATACCTATTGACTCCACATTCCAGAAGTCTTCTAAATTATGTTTCACAGGTACAACACTGTCGACATCGGAAATAAACATGTATTTGTTGCATTATTGCCATGGGTCAGAATAAGTATACATGGGCCTTGATCAGAGGTTCTTACGGTAAGGATCCATCCTAACTTAGAGCCAAGAAGGAACAAACCAGGATTTAGTTCGATCTTTTGACACAGAATAAAATCCAAATAATAATCGTTACCAACTAACATTTTTATTGATGATGTTTCGTTTCTTTTTGGTAATGTATCAGCTAAATCAACACTTCCAATAATATGTTTAACATGCTACTTATCTAAAACACCTATTGGACTGCGATGCAAATTGCCACTTATTGTCAATGTATAATCACACTGATTGAAAAGTGTTCACCTTTTTTTAGTTAAACATCAATGTTAGCACATTTAGTTTTGATGCATTGCGTACAATTATTACCAAACGTTACAAGTTTCGTTTCATGTTCTCAAGTTACTTCGAGATGTAACTTTCTTGCTAAGTTTTCTGTTATATATGTCCGATGAGATCCTGAGTCCAACAAAAGTCTAACAGACTGTGTTGCAGATGTATCTTTGTTCTTAATTGCTGTAATTGCCGTCTGGTCTGCATTAGAACCATTTTATTTGACGAAACATTTTCCTCAGAATTTTCAATCTCTGTATATTCTTTTTTTCTTCATTTGCTAAATGCATCATTGATTCCTTCACCTTTAATTTTTGAGGACACAAACTTCTGTGATGCTTGTTCACTTCACCACAAAGTGTACAGATTTTGTTTCTCTTACATTGACTTGATTTGTGACCTGTCTGTAAACACTTGAAGCAGCTGTCTTTCAATTGATGATTTTTTTCATTTATAGTTCGTTATTTTGCGCACTCATCGTTACAAATTTTCTGCTGACATTAACGACATTTATCTGCATAATTTTCAGTCTGTTGTTTTGGTGTAACTTGCTTAAGGTTGTTGACGGTAAGCACATGAGCAGAACTTGAATAACTTCTTGATTGCGCTAATTTTGTATAACTCCTCGCTTGGGGTGAAATGGTATAATTTCTTGGCTGTGCTGAATGTGCATAACTTGAGCTGTATTAGAAGCAATATTTTGCTTGTATCCTGATTGAATAGACGATAAATGTATTCTCTTTTCGAACACATTATCTTTCTTTTCTGTTCTTTCTCTGGCAAGAATATATTCGGTTAATAGTTAGCGAAGCTTGTCTATACTCCATTCATTGCTCAATCCATTTAATATTTCTAACTGAACAAATACTTCCTCTGGTAGCTTAGCTCGTATCATTGGCACAAACACAGCTTTTTCAAATTTTTAAAAATAACATTTTTTTAGGCGCGTTAAATGCCCTTTTTTCCCTTTTGTTTTCTCCTCCCCCAAAGATTTAAATCTAATTATATATTTTGTAGAATAATTTACCTTTGTTAAATTCAATGTCCGTATCTTTTTTATTCTTAATTGTAGCGTAGTTTTTGCACGTCCTTTTTTTAGTGCCCCTAAACTCTCTGAATTTTTTTTTCCCCCATGTCACTTTTACATGTTTCACTTCGCCCCTTTTCTTTTTTGTTGAAACATTTCTTTAAAAATGTTGTAATTATAGTGCATTCTAAATTCAACACAGTTTACATCTTTTATAATTTTTTCAATTTTTTGAATCACTTTCTTCGATTTGGCTTTCCCAATTTTTCATTTAACTTCTTTCCTTTCACAATACCTTTTTAAAGTTTGAATGCATTTATTTGTTTCTAACAAATTTTCTCAATATTACAGCTTTCGATATCTCTTTTTATTAGATCGTTTCCAAAATCAATATTTTTCTGCAGAATATTTCTAAATCTTGTCCTGACACCATTTAAATGTTGAACACTAGTCATTTTAAGTTTGATACTCACAATAAATTTATCCAAGATGACAAATAATTTCCACTAAAAAATATCCAAATCACAAATCTTATTAAAAGCAATCATCTTATTGAATTCACTGAATGTCATCCGGTTCGCGGGACCAAACAATGTGGCTAGTTTTATTACTTTCAGTTTAGGACTATAGCTTTTAAGGTCACAGTGGACTTAAATGTAAGAATGGCCTTCGCTTATTACCTTGAAAAATTTCACGAAGTCTTCAAGTTAACATATTGATAAGTCATAACGGGGTCACTAGTTCAAAGGTCAAGGTCTATATGTTTCACATTTTGATTGGTTATAACTAGTAAGTCGTTCTTTTTTCCATATCTGAGCACTTCCATGTACCCATTAATGGCAAGTTTCTATGAGAAAATTACCAATTATATGAGCCAAGGGCTAGAAAGGGGAGGGGGGGGGGTCCGCGAATCGGTCACGGCTTTGGCTTGCCCGGCTATAGACTACACGGTGATATTTAAAAGAAAATCATATAAAAAACATTTAAAGAATATAAAGAAACTATACGATCTTCAAATTTCCCAGTGTAGTTCTAGTCGGGGCGGCCATTTTCAAAATGGAAACAATGATAAATAGATAGGTCTTCCGTTGAGCTTACAATCCACCCTTTTCGGATTTAATAATAATCTTCGAGTATTACGATGGAAATAGAAGGGTGCGGAAAACCAATGAAACTTAAACGTGAAAAGATGGGGAACAATTTTTTTTTAAAAAACTTGTTTTCCCGTTCATAGGGTTTTGCCTAAATTTCATATTTAAAAATATACGAGCTGGAGCCTTGGTTCGCAAAGCGAACTCAAAAACTTTAGCCCGGAAGGAACAGAAAAAAGTATGGTTAATAGTGTGCGTGCTCTTCATTGGATATTATTTTGGTTTCCCAGTCCTATTAAATTTGGATTACGCCAGAAATCTGGACCAGCAGGTTTCCCGCCTTTTTGTTTACCAAAGGACGCCGAGAAACGGTTTCTTGTTTCCTGTCTGATTATGGTTCCCATTCAAATTGCTGTTCGAAGCCACTTGCCAATTACTATTAATCCTAATACGAAGTTTCGCGAAAATACGTTTTCAAAAAATGGTACGTTTAGCGCGTTCACGATCGTTCATAGCTTATCCGTTCAGTTTGGCAATACTGACACGAGGCATTTGAAAATTTAATGACCAAAAGTCATTAAATATTCAAATGCTTCAGGTCAGTATTGCCAAACAATAGCTTATCCATTACTATTCCTTCTCAAACAAATCAAATATTGTATTGGAAATATGTCAATTCGGTCTTAAAATACTTTTCCAAAACCGAACATTTATAAGTTAAAGGTGTAAATATATATTTAAAAACTTAATTAGTTGTGTAAGAAAAGAAAAAGATAAACGTTCAACTAAACCAATGTGCTTCGGTTAGAAATATGCTCGTGAACTTAACTTGTATACAAACTGTATATAATTTTATATGGTTAGTTATTCTAGTAAGCCAAATTGGGTCGTCGCGATTTTTTTCTTTAAAAGATAATTGTAGTTTTTAATGCAATGATATTCTATTTGGAATTTATTAGAAACATAAGTTTCAAAATACATTCGGGCATTATGTCTACATGCACGTAGTAGGAATAAATCATATAATAGTGATTATGGTCACCATACAGTCACATTGTAAATATTTACATACATTTACGCATGTATTATTAAATATCATACTTGTAACTTAAGTACAAATTAGCACCAACAAAGACTTGAAACATTAGCACTGAAGTGAAATTATAAAACATTTGGAACTGTCCTGATATTTAATATACAAATATTACAGATGGTACCTTAATCAGTAGCGACACATCTCTAATCCTAAACTATTACATTTTTTATTATTTTCACGTAAATGTCCTAAATGTTTCTATTCCATAATTGTAGCGTTATGCAATTTTTTATTGTACCATTTCATTGCAGCCGGTAAAAAGAACGTTTCGCTTTGTAACAGTTGATGGGAAAGAAATGAATGCAATGAAAGTGATGTCGGCCACTATAGGTTATCTTCGAGCGAAAGTGTTAGAAGAGCCTGCGGACATATCACGATGGACCAGAATGCATAACATTGGTGAAAAGCAAATAAGTTGGATACTTACTGTTCCGGCAATATGGTCTGATTCAGCCAAACAATTCATGAGAGAGTCTGCTGAAATGGTAAAAGAAATCCGCAAATCAAGTGTAGTGTCACAAAATACATTTCATATGTTATACATGTAATTCTTAAAATAATTTCTAAATTAGTAAGATGATAAAACTATCTTAAGCGATAGCTTCTATAACAAGATATACAAGCGATTCTTTTGATTAAATATGGGTAAAAAAGAAGACAAACACTTTTATCATACCATACCTGTTATCAAGAGAGGCCAAGGTTCATAATAATATTTGAGAAATTAAATGTTATAAGCGTTGAAATTGTATAATAATTTTCATATTGAACTGTAATTAAATAATGTGCAATAGAAATTAATATTGTTTGATCTTAGAAACATAACATCAGTCCAGTATATCATCTCTAAGCATGGACTTGAATGCCAGTTCTCAAGCCATCAAAGGACCCCATTGGAAATAAGTTCTCTATTTTATATTGAACTTTCATGGGTTATCCTGTGTTGTATATATTGTCTTGAAGTCAACTAGATCTTTGATTTAATTATGACTGTGAAGTAATTATTTATATACACAAATAAATCAATCAATCAAAAAAACTTGTAATGACAGAATGAATGGCAATGTGAACTTAAGTACGACTTATAATTGAAAAGTCAATGATACTGTTTAAATTTCGTTGTAGGCTGGTATACAAAGAAGTCAATTGACAATTGCACTTGAACCCGAGGTTGCAGGCATTTATTGTATTGGTGGAAATTTATATGGCTGTACTCAGTCTGTCCTTGCAGCATTTGGCCATAAATACATTGTTGTAGACATGGGTGGTAGGTACTTTATTTTTTTAAATTGCTAAATTGAAATACCATATTTCCCATTATTCAACTCATAACATTAAGAAAAATAATCCAAAAAAAATCCTACTATATATTTAAAAGCCTGGTCGGTTTATATTCTAAAAAGGTTTAAAAATATGTTATACTACAAAAAATATACTCGATCAACATCATCTGAATGTTCTTTTGAAAAAAGGAAATGTCATTTTATCAAAGATCAGATAAACATTTGATTTGAACTGTAATCTTTTATTTTTAGCTCGACTTTAAAAAAAAAGGAAAAGGTAGAGGTATTGTTAAATTCCTGGCGGCGTTGCCGTAGCCGTTGTCGTTGCCGTCTGCAAACTTGTACCTTGATCATAACTTTTTTAGTTCTTGGTGAATTGTCTTCATACTTGGCCACAACAATTATTGGGACAAGACCTTACAGTAGACCAGACTATCTTTGACCTTCTTCCATAAATGACCTTGACCTTCAATGTCGTGTCCAAATTTTATTTGTTCATGTTACACTTATAGAATATTCCGAAATTTACATTTACACTTGAAAAATATCTGAGACCAAGACAGGTATTCATATTAAATATTCTGTTTATAAATGTTGCTTTTTGGATATGCCAATACTGTAAACTGTTCTCCATGTACGTAAGTATAAATGCAGGCGTTTGGCCTGTGAAGAGGTGTTGAGAACTGTTCATCAACACTTGAGAGCTAATTCAGGACAGCACAATAAAATATTCTCAGTGATTGATATTATACCAAGATTGCACTGTAATTGTGTGTTCTCTAACATTATTCTCAAAGTAAAGAATTTAAAGATGGTATAGGCATTAAAGTTCTTCATGCACAACTCCTCCTCTCATCTTCTTCC